ACTGGAGGCTTCTGCCTAGAGAAGTGACATGGCCAGACTTACGTTATAAAAGGCTTGATCTTGTGATCCTGTGGAAGAGGTAACATTGCTGATCTGAGATGGAGATTGACAGGCAGGGTGTTTACTAGAGAGTGCTCGTGGGAGTAATACCTGTGGGAGAAGGGACCGAGGCAAGAGGGAGAAATGGGAATAGCATGTTGTCTCGAAGCCTAACTGACTTTATGAGGAACTCTGAAACTGGGATTGCCCTTCAGAGTGGCTCCAAACTCTAGTGAGGGTGCCAGCCTTTATACAGGTGTCTCTGAGGAGGGGAGTGGCTTTTGACAACCAGCTTGGTTCAACTGAGAGGAACTCCTGGACAGGGCTGGCAGCTGAGCATCCCTCAGCATTCCCAGAAGCTGGGGGGTCAGTCCTTCAGCCAGCAGAGAATGAGAGGGATGGTTTGTCAGAGCATCCACTGTAGGAGGAAATGTGGAAGTGGGAGACCATTTAGGGGCAGTGATTCAGGAGGGAGATAATGATTGGTCCTGCTACTAGGATGTTAGTAGCAAGATACATTCATTTTCTGGATTTATTTTGAAAGGAGAGCCAACAGGATGTACTGATATATTCATGGGGGCTTTCTGAGAAATCAAGAAAAAATCAGTATAATAAATATAAACCTATGATTTCTGCCCAAACAACTAGTAACAGTACCTATTTTCAGGTAGAAATAGGAAGAAATAAGTAGACCCTATGTACTGAGGTAGGGAAGATTTGGGGGTTATGGAAAAGTTTTAGGAGAAATGAAACTAATTCAGCTTTAGACAAAATGATTTTCAAACATCTATGAGATAACCAACTCAAGATGTTAGTGATATGTGAAACCATCCAGGCTGAGAAATAAGTTGGAACTTATTGGCTTCTCAAAGCTATTTAAAGCTAAGGAACTGAATGGAATTACCCAAGAAATGACTGCTGGGCTATTTCAAAGCTTAGGATCTAGGGTCATAAAGCATAGAAAGCTGTCCAGTGGATAGGATGAGGACCAAGAGGAAATGATCAGAAGCCAAGCAAAGAAGGGCAGACTGAACCACATCTTCTGTATGGATAAACGTTTTTTTAACAATATCTCTGTTCCTCTTTCAAATTCTATCATATGTACGGTTTGTTCATTTCTTCTGAATATCTAATCATGTCCATTTCTTCTATCTGAATATGTGAAATGCTTACAAGTTAGATTTAATTGACAGTTTCTTATTAACCAAGGAAGGCTAGGACTGTTGATTTTAATAAGGTGGGTATTCCCCAAGGATAATAGAAACTACAAGCTGTAATAACTGAGGTAGAAGCAATCCAGATGTCCAAACAAAATGAAGGCAAACTAATTCTATGATGGAATCTCACTCACCTTTGATGAGATGTCAGGATTCACTTTAAATATTATGCACACAGATCTGAGTCTGCAAATTGGGACAAGCCTGATTGGGGCCCTTGGAGTGATCTATTACCTAGGAGGCAGGGATCCAAACTCCTGGTGCTTACTATCTCCCAAGGGAGAAAATAAAACCACCCAGGGCTGAAACAGAATAATTGTCTTAATTATAGTCACCAAACATGGGACCAGGAGTGCTGAAGCTAAGAATGAAACATCTCTGGGGACAGCCTGAGACCACTTCCTCACACAGCCTCTATCACCTTTTACCCTCTTCTAACTTCACCCACTGCGGTTATCACTTGTGATGGTGGCTCAGTCATGAGACTATAAGCCATGTTGTAGGATAGTGTCTAACATTCAACAGATGTATATGAAAACAAGTAAATGATACTTCTGTTCCCTTCTGTTATCAAACACGAGGCCTTGGAGTAGACAAATGGCCATACAAATAACCTTGGCAGCTGGATCTCTTCAATCACATACTTCTTGACAATCTTGTTAAGGCGCCATCTATTTTTTTCCTCAAACTTTTGTTTCCCATGTCAGGAAGAGAGATTATTTGTTCTATATTATGCATTTTAAAAGCAATATCTTAAGAGCTTTTTGTCTTGAAGATCTTACAGTAATGTCTGTTTAGTAAGAAGGGTGAAAGATGCCTGCTTCCACTATAAATAATGCCAGACTTTAGAAGGAATTTTGGATTGTATTTGTTTATTGCAAACTTCAACACACTTTACTTTCTTTTGGAAGATTATTCACCAGAGCAGTGGGAAAGAGACCATTACAACACTGTGTTTATAAAATGTTTAGGGTCTTGAAGATACCCTTGTTAACACTTCTTGCATAGAATGGTGTTTGTAATTGATACAGAGATGATACCCTTCTCCCTGCCCCAAGTAAATTATATTGCCTTTATCATCCAAGACCACGGTTGGTTTCACCAGGTGCCAACACTTTCTACATAAATGAGAATGGATCCTAGAGAAATTACCCTACATACATATGCTCTCTGAGGCTATATGTAGTTACCAACCAGAGGGCTAACCCATGGTGTTATGAGGTGCCACCATTATGTTTTTTTTTCTCTTTTTAGCTTTTTATTTTGAAATAAAAAGTACAGCTAAGTTGCATGAATTGTGCTGAGAGTTTTCATATACTCTTTACCTAAACCTATCCATTTTTAGCATTTTAGCAGATTGTTTTATGATTTCCATTTCTTTCTTCCCTTCCTCTACTGTCTTGTGTGTCTAAACTCACATATACATCTACATTAAACCATTTGAGAGATTAGTTTGTATACATCATGCTTTTTTTAATTGCTTACTTGAGAGTTTATTCCTAAGAACAAGCATGCTTTCTTAGTTATCAAATTAAGGAAATTTAACCATATATACTGTTATGGAATTTAACTGTTTATTCACATTTCATAGGTTACCCTAAAATCCCAATGGCATTTCTTGTAGAAATAGATAAAGCAATCATGAAATTCATATGGAAAAATAAATGACCATTATGTTTTTATTTTAAGTAAAAATTATAGTCTCTATCATTATGCTAGTCTATAACACCAAAAATTATTAGCTGTGTTTGCCAAAAAGTTGCCAAAAAGATTGATAAAAGTAGATAAAAATATCAAAATAAGGGAGTGATTTAATTGGTTTTCATGCCGTAAAGGAATTCAAGGTAGAATTTGAGTAGGGCAAAAAGAAAGGTTATGTTTTCTTCTAAATTTGGTTGTGCCAGTTTGCCTAAATATTGCTATATGTTTTTAAAATTATTTTAGTTATAGATGAACACATACTTTCATTTTATTTATTTATTTTTATGTAGTGCTGAGGCAAGGGCACTACCACTGAGCTACAACTGCAGCTCCCTAAATTCCTATATGTTTAGGGGAGAGAATGAAAGAAAGAAAAGATTAGAGGGGGAAGAGCAGACAGACGAGGGAGAAGAGCATCACCATTATTTGAATCTACTTAAACAGAACCTGTTTTAGTCAGCTTTTTTGCTTCTATGAGTAAAAGATCTGACCAGATCAGTCAGCTTTTTCGTCAATGTGACAAAAAGACCCAACCAGCACAATCATAGAGGAAGAAAAGTTTATTTGCAGGCTCATGGTTTCAGAGGCCTTAAGTCAGTAGAAGGCGGGCTCCATTCCTAGGGGCTCTAAGTGAGGCAGGACATCATTGTGGGAGAGTGGTGGAGGGAAGAGTGGCTGGAGGAGGTGGGGATTGGGGGCATGGCTATGGGGTATAAATTTGTATCTGGTGAGTGGAGTCTCTCTCTCTCTCTGCTTCCTGGTCATCATGTGAACTGCTTTCCTCTGCCTCACTCTTCTGCCATGATGTTCTGCCTCACCTCAAGCCCTGAGGAATGGAGCTGGCTTTCTATGGACTGAGACCTCTGGAACCATGAGCCCACAAATAAATTTTTCCTCCTCTACAATTTTTTCTTGGTTGGGTCTTTTAATCAGAGTGGCGAAAAAGCTGACTGAAACAGAACTTTTGAAGAAGGACTGACTGGACTGCAACCTTCCCTCAGGGAGGCACACTCTAGAACTTCATAAGAATGGTTTCTGTGACTTATTGATGGTGCCCTTTTTGTTTTTTTTTTTTAAATTTCTCTCTCTATCTAGATATCTATCATCTAACTTCATTCCTATTCCTCACTGAATAAAGTTAAAAATCTTAATTCAAGATTTTTGATGATCTAGATTTAACCTACTTTTCTAGTTTTATTTGTTTTTATTCTCATTCATCTTACTTTTCAAATTGAAACACAATACCACTAACCAAGGTAACATGCATGATATATTTGCCTGATCTGGAGATATGGGTTCCTCATGCTGGATCTACTTGCAATCCTTACAAGAATCCTGTGAAATAAATACTATTCTTATCCATGTTGCACAGGTGAGAGGGCTGAGTCTTTGAGAGGTTCATAACTTGTCTGAGCTCCCACAGTCAGTGAATGATCTGACCCCAGGGTCCTGTGCTTTACAACTACACCTGCTACTTAGTGCTCTTGCTGTTCAGATAGATGCTTTCACCGCAGCATTTCTCTCTGCTTGAATGGAGAAAGTGCTATTCTAACCTGCCTTCATCTGTCACCATTCCCCTGTCCTTCTAAGTGCTGCCTAAGTGCCACCTTCTCCAATTACTCCACTCCAGGTGGCTGCAATCTCTCTCCCTTTAAAATTCCTCCAGTCAAATGTCACAAACCAGCTGTAGGGTGTCACCTGGGAATTTGTCGAAAATGCAGAATCTGAGGCCCCACCCCAGGTTTTATCAAGCAGAATTCACACTTCAAAACGTTCCCAGGTTGGGCTCCTAGGTTGGTTTATGTGTGCAGTAAAGTTTGAGAACTGTATCATAGGCTTTTGTCCCCCCACCACTTTTTATCTCTGTTATTTGTATACCGTTTGTAATTCTCAATAGGATTGTAAGGTTTTTGAGAACAGGAAGATATTAGATTCTTTTTTGTTTGGGGCATCCATAAATATACAGGACTTAGAAGAAGAAGACATATAATTTGTTTAATGATATAAAATAGCACTTATATTCAGAAACTTAGGTCACTTGTATGTCAAGAAGTACTATGTTATTTGGAATTGTTTTTCCCATTTGTTAATATAATTACTTGAAATTATTTTACTCAAAATGTTTTCATAAATCCAGGCCTTTAGTAACTATGAAAAATGTTACAAGGCACAATCTAGCTCTCTAAAGTATAATCTTCATTCCTCCATAGCCTTTGGTCTATACCTAGTCCTTTAGACACCGTATTTTTCACTGTCAAAACCCAATATAGATAGAACAGATTAGGAAAAAATCAATACTTGGAGAAAATAGAAATACTGAAAACCGATGACTGCAATCAATTTCACGTGTGAAATTTTGAGATTTGTCTGTCTGCAGTCAAGATACTCGCTGTCTTCCAGGAACTTTGGAATGAAATTTTTGTTTTGACAACTATTTGATTCCAAGGTTTATTTTAGAGCTAATTTTGTTAACAGCAAAACTTCAGTCACCACAGATGCTCTATATCATTGCCTGCACTTTATACACCAAGGACTGATAATTGAACTTATTGATTCTTTGAAATATCACTGTGCTTTCTAGTTCTTTATTTAGCACAGTGTTTGCACCTATTTGTACCTCTAAATGTTCTTTGTGAGTCTGACCAACTGATCACTGAGATTGGCAGATGCTAGAGCCCTTTAGTCAGCTTCTCATTGCTGCACAATCTGGCTTCTCTTTTCCTTCACAGAATATATAATTGGAAACATGCATGACAAGAAAAGAGGGCAAACACATATAGGTGGTAATTTTTTTTTTTTATTTTTACTTCTACTGATGCCAGTATGACCTCTCATGAAGTTCCAAATCTAAAGAATTGTCAAAGCATAAATCTGGTCTTTGGATCGAAAAAAAAAAAATTCAATTCAGGGAGGATTCTGCTTTACCTCTTTTTAAAATTCCCTTTTTTTCTATGTGAGTGTGTGTGTGTGTTGTTTTAGTAACAGGCTCTCTTCCCACCTCAGTCATTGGTTTGCTCAGTCTCTTATGTGATGAATCAATGCTTCCAGAACAGGGGCTTCTGAGTGACTGCGGGAACAATTACTTCCAAATGAACTCGTGCATCTTAGCAGGGAGCATTCAGACCATACCCCAGGTAAAAGGAAGCCTTTGCTTCATGCTTTTAATAACTTTTAAAAGCAGCGCACTGTGTTCCTGGCGTTTGCTGCAAGAGGGTGTGAGGGAGAGCTATCCGGGTGTTGATAGATTTGTCTGTATAGCAAAATGAAATGCTATCTACAGTTAAAGGATGAACTGCTGAAGGTAAAACTGCTCATTGGGCAAAGACAATACTCAGGACTGCCTTGGGCATCATGTTAATGCTAACATACCTCATACTGCCTCTTCTCAGTAAGGGGCTGGTGGCCATGTGTGAGTGCGGATGTCAACATTGGAAGGATGAGAACTTTCAGGGAAATTTGGGAAGGGAGGCATTACAGCCTGAATCTGAGCAAAGGAGCAGTTAGCCTGCATGGCATTGGTGAAAACAATTTTTCAAATTATAGGGCTGTCTGGTGAGAAGGTGTCAGTTTTAGAGATAGTGAGCATTTCAAAGCATATTTAGGAAAATATTTTAATCCTTTCAGTACTTGTTTCTAATACTAAAATAGTTTCCCTATGATAGGAACTAAGATGATTAAACGGCATTGGCAACGGAAAGTGTTAATTGCCAATTAACAAGTGCAGTGCTATTAACTTGCATCTGTTTTTGCTTTATGAGGAAAATGATTTTTCATCACCATAGCAATTCATTTTGGGGCTCCATTGGAACTTGGCCACACAGTGTGCAGTAAATAGCAAATATATATATTTTTTTCTTTCCTGAACAAGGGATTCAAAAGTCTACTAGCTAACATGTGGTTCTTCATCTGATTATTGCATAGCGTGGTTAGTGTACTTTCAAATTCTTTTCCATCTGAAATTCTTTACAAATGCATATTTGATTTTTGTTAAGATGAGAGGATGCCAAGCAAAGGTTCTGGAAAGAGCCCCATGCTAATTTTGTACCATTAGCTTAAAAGTAATAACAAACAATTGCCATTTTGATGATAATTCTTCTAAGGATATATATGTGTGCATGGGAATTTATCCCTGATCTTTTAACTCCCCAACAGTAATCCGGGAAGATGAATAAGTCTTTAGTCCTATTATATTTTCTATTTTTATGTTTTCTGGAATGACATCATATATTAGTTCAACTAAAGTAAGAAATCATTTTCCTACACTGGCCCAGAAATTGTTCATAGGACATGGATGTTTCTGTAAGAAAATATAACAGTAAGGTAGAAGGAAATAATTTTGCTTCTATTCAGTCTCCTCCAATCTCAGCATGTGGCTCTGTTTAGAAATTTCTTTGAAGGTATTGTAATAAAAGCTCACCTTATTCTTTGAAGCATCAGTTTTCATTCATATTTCATTTCTGTATTATTCACTAAGATTATAGCCATCAACCTTTAAAAAGTATACAGTTTGTGATATGTCAATTGTGGTACTCTATTTGTATTTTAAATTTTATGCTTGTGCAAGCCATTTGAAAAAGTAAATTTTCATCATCGTGTGTATTTTAGAAGGTCAAGCTCCTTTTTATGATGGTTGTATGTATTTTGAAGCATGGGATGCTCATATGGAAGCCTTTCACATATCACTATTTAAGTTTCATTTGGATAGACCTAAAACAGGCTGATGGGTATCATGTGAGAAGGTGAGGTCTATCTGCACAACCTCAGGGCAAGGTCATAGTTTCACCTCTTCTTCCCAAAGGTTTACTTTTATTTTGTGCTCAAATGAAATTCAAGATGGGTTATTTGAGCTATACTTGGTGATTTACTTACCCAAACCACTCTCCATTCCATCAGGATATTGATAAGATTAGTCATGTAAAGAAACCTTCCCATAAATTAACATCTAACAAGTCCACAGTATTGTGAATTGCTGATCAGCCTGGGGGGGGTGTCCCTAAGCCTCACAAGGGATTTGATGTTCCTTTTTACAAAGGAAAGTAGTGATTTACTGCTTCTGATGAGGAGCTGCCACCTAGGAATTGGGACATGACGGTAACAAGGGAATAAAGGCAGAAAGGAATGTTGAAAAATGAAAATTGTTTCAGAAGGGTTTGTCTGTCTGCTTTATACACCTTAAGGAATATACATTGTTTCTACAAGGCATAGGTATTCTAGTTAGCAGGAAGTTATACCATATAACCAATGATCCAGGTTATTTCACTTGGCCTATCTAGAATGTGGGTGAAACCTATTAGAAGGATATTCAGTCCTCCTTGTTTGATTTCATGCTCCAAAAGAATGTCTTTAATGAATAATCTAGTGTTCCATGTATTCTGTTTTGGGGACACTTCTGACCCCAGTGTCACACTTATCCAAGATTGTGCTGCTGTGCTGTCAGTCTGTCTGCCTGATGGTGCTATCACCCAGTGCAGCTTTTCTTTTCACAAAGATGGCCTTGTTGACCTTCTTGCCTCACAGTTTCTTGACCTTTATAAGCTCTGTGCCCTTCTTCTCCCATATTTTTCTCAGGACTGAAGTTTAGACTCCATAATCATCCAAATCACCATTCTTCTAATGATTAAACCCTCATGTACCATGTTATAACCTCAGAGAATTCTCTCAAATAGTTACCACTGTATCAGATCTATTTTCTGAGCCATAGACCTCTAGATATTTGAACTTGAGATCTTCCTTCCTTATGGATTCAAACTGAACTCTGCAGTTGATAATGTGCTCAATTCACACAAATATCCTTAATTTCTTTACACTCACAAAATCCTTCTCCTGAAACTACCTCCAAATATAAACTCTATAAATGCCTTGATTTACTTTCTCTGTTCCTTGGACAGTCAGGTCAGCATCATCCCAGAGACTACTGAACAGCCAAGCAACTCACTACAGATTCCTGGATTTAATTTGGGCTGGGTATTCAGTAAAGTCTGTCAGTCCCTTTGTTTTGGGGAAGGTCTCTTTCCCACTGTGGGCCATGATGCTTCAGGCCTTTCCATCTTCCTTAAGATGTGCATGCCATCTGTACTAGTTCTTTCTCATCTGTTGGTGCATGTAATGGCAGAGTTTCAGAGGTTCAACCATGGACCTCTTTTTCCTATTTGTATTTACTCTCTTGCTGGCATCATCTAGTCTCCTGATTTTAAATACCATCCAGAGTAAGCAACACAAACAATTTTACCTCCAGCACAGATTTTCCTCTAAATTTCACTCTCCTACCCACATTTCCAACTTGAATGTATATTGGGCATATCAAATTTGATCTTTTTCCTTTAAATTAGGGCCAGACTCAAACACTTCTCACTACAATCATTGCAGAAATCCAAGTATAAGCCACTGTTCTATCTCCCATGTGTTATGTTAATAATCTCATGGCAAGTCTTCATGGTACTTATGAAACTACTGTATTTTACTATATGTTTTATGTATTTATTTGTTTACTAGCTGCCTTCCTTCATGAGAAAGTAAACTCCTTGAGGGTGGGGACTTTTGTTCACCCAATCACTGAAATAGTGCTTGGCATTTAGTAGGCATTTAATAAGACTTTGTGGAGTAAACAAAAGTGAATAGATAGCCATGTGTTCAAATGAAAGGTGATTTTAGTGACAGCATAGTCGCAGGACTAAAGACCGTGGAAAAGGGCAGAGATTCAGCTAGATAAGAAGGTGTGATACTGACCTTCAATGGTGTGGGTGAAATGGGAAACCAAGTCACCAGCTCAGAGTGAAAATGGGGAATATGTTAAAGGTTTGAAGAAAGGGAAAAAGGTGTGAAAGAGTTTTCTAGGTCGGTGGAAGAGTGAATGGGATATGAAAGTAAATTATGATTGTGGAACAGCATTGAGGAGGAGGCTTGAGGCTCAGAGTTAGACATTTGAAGTGAGACCAGTAAGGATGGTTATTTGTATTTCTCTTAGCCATGTGTATCTCCTGATGCAGGAATAGAGTAGATAGAAGGTTCGAATTAGTAAGGACTGTGATTTCATGGGATGACGATGTAAGAGAGGTCAAGGCATTTGAGGGTACCCAAGGGATTAATTGTGGTCAGTTGGTCAATTTTTATTGAGACTAGTTAAAAAGATATTGTAGGAAAACATGATGTTGGAAAAATCAAGTAGATGTTGGAGTACTAGAGCGAGTGATTTGGAGAGTATAGGAAGTGGTGGTCAGAGAATAAAAGAATTGTAAAGGGTATGAAGCTAGTGATCTAGGCTAGAAATGTGAGAAGCAAGAAAGAATAAAGGTCAAGGAAACACAATATTAGAAAAATTATCCCTTAAAACATTATATTGAGGATTTTTAAAAGCCTAATTTTGGAAAGAATAGCATTGATCCAGAAACATCTTCAAGGAAAGAAGGGCTTAAGGTACGGGTGGGCAGATGGCTGCTACTGGGACATGTATGAATGGAAAAGACTGATGACATGGGGTTCAAAGCTAGAAGTGCTTAGGTAAGAGAGAAAAAGAATGGTCTGGAAGCAAAAATAAAGTAATAATAATAATAATAATAATAATAATAATAATAATAATAATAGGCAAAGAGAATATATATCCTCCATCCAGGCAGTGGTACAGAAGTGTGAGAGAAAATGCCACCACTGTGAGAGATTCTTGGGGAGATAGACCTTCAGAGAGAAGCATGTTTGTGTTAGAATGAGAAAGTAAAGGAAATATTTAGAAAAGTTAAGGGCAAGTAGGGTTTTATAATGGCTGACAGGATACCAGGAAGTGCACAGTGAAATAGTTTCAAGACTTGGAGCAGGAGGCAAGATAGGAACAAAACTGGGGATGGGCAAAGCATTTAAGCAGCAAGGAATGACCTAGAACCCCGGCTTCTCATGGGCACTAATGTGAACCAGGTTAAAGATCATCCCTATAAGGACATACAGTCTGAGGGGTCCCAGGCATGTATCTTCTGAGGAAGGCATGGAGATAGCATAGGGGCAGTGCTATTTTGACTACAGGGGGCCTATTTTATCATGAAAATTAGTTAGATCAAAAGTGATTCTGCTGGGCTCGGTGGAACATGCCTGTAATCCCAGTGGCTGCATAGGCTGAGGCAGGGGGATCCTGAGTTCAAAGCCAGCCTCAGCAACAGTGAGGTGCTAAACAACTCAGTGAGACCCTGTCTCTAAATAAAATACAAAATAGGGCTAGGGATGTGGCTCAGTTGAGTGCCCCTGAGTTCAATCCTGGGAACCCTCCTCCAAAAAAGGTAGGCTGAATTCTGGGGGTCTGAACTCTGGGACACTCAACCACTGAGCCACATCCCCAGCCCTATTTTGTATTTTATTTAGAGACAGGGTCTTACTGAGTTGCTAATGCCCCCGTGCCCGACTATTCTCAACTCTTTTGAGTCGATATCCTATTGTTTACTGTTCTCAGTATTCTTTACTATTCCCATGCACTTCCCACTCTTCCCATTTCCTCCGCCACACAACATTCATGTCTTTAAACGTCTTAGGTCACTTACTGTAGTCTCAAAGGAGACCCCTGTTCCTTCATTTGTTTCCTCATCTTCTTTTTCTGCTTTCTTCAGGATCTTGCTCCCCTTTCCTTCTCTGCAGGACTTTCCAACTGTCTGAAGATACATTCAAATTTACTCCATTATAAGACCAACAGAGGCATCTCGTTGACTCTACTTTCCTAACTACTCTCAAACTCTGTCTTAACATCACATCCAAACTTCTAAAAAAAAAAAAATGTCTACATTGCTATTTCCTTTGCTTCCCTTCCAATTTAGTCCTCCGTTTATGGCTTTTGGCTTTGTATTTGTGATTTCGAATGCCTGATTCATCTATATAAAAATCTAATATGACCATGTCACCTCTCAATCAATACTGCTTAAATGGTTCTCTGATGCCAACAGGACAAAACCCAAGTTTGAGTCATACCCTTCTGTGATGCTTACCATCTTTCATTCATTAGCTTTTCCCAGCCTGGGGAGCCCTATGCTTCCTTTCACTGATACTTACATCTCAGGTGTTGCCTTTTATGACTTCCTGTTTTGGGTAGGAACCCCTTATCACTGCTTCCTTAGCATTCTGGGAGATACCTTTTTGGGTTTTTTTTAAATGAATAGTGTACAATTTCCTAGTTAGCCTTATATCCCCTGCTCCTGTGGACCTGCCATACAGCAAAGTCTTAATAAAATTATTTTTAATGAATTAAGAATAAGTGAAAGAAAAGGTATATCCTTCAGAGAAGACACTGTGGATAGGTAAGCTTTCAATAAATCCATAATTTAACATTCTTGAAAGTGATAAAAGTTGGAATTTTCTTGCATGCTTTTTGATCATGAGTCAATTAATGGAAACTGCTAACCTAGGATTAAGGGGATAAAAGTCAATTTTCAAACTGACCCGATACTGTATTTGTGGTGATTTCACGAAGGTAGAGATACCCTGTAAAGTTCTAGCTGATCAGCTTGCTAGCCCACTGAGTAATTACTATCCCTTACAGCAGGATCTTCCTGGGGTTGATTGCTTTCTTTGGTAATATAAAAGAAGTTCTGATATACTCTGACTATTTTTATGTTTTTTCTTTTAACAGCCATACTCATGATAAATGGGCAATTTATCAAAATAAATGAGATAAATATGATGGTATATAGAAAAATAGAGTCAAGATGAAATTTGACAAGGCTGAAAGTCTAATTTATTACATATCTCATAGGTCTCTTCTGGTGATTCTGAAGCTAAACCTCTGATCTTCACATTTGTCCCCACTGTCCGAAGATTACCAACCCACATTCAGTTGACTGACACTTCCAAATTCCTTGTTAAAATTCCCGAGGAACCAAGTGATAAGAGTCCAGAAACTGTAAATAGGGTAGGATTATTTTTATTCTTTTTTTTCCAAACAATTATGTTACATTGTCCATAAGAACGACTTGAAATTCTGTGTCAATGTTTATTTCCTCTGCTTAAAGTTAGATACTGAAATTTAAGGTTGATTAAAAATTTAATTATGAGATCTGCAGTGTAGCTCAGTGATAGAGTGCTTTTCTAGCATGTGCAAGACACTGGGTTTGTTCTCCAGCACTGAAAATATTATATATGTATATTATCTATTATATGTATAATTATATATATTATATATTTTTTATACATATGTATATGTATATATATAATTTTACACGAGAAGCCTAAATGTTACCAAATCCCATGTTTTCTCTAATGCATTTTTCTCAACTATCATTTTTCAGGGGGAGGGGCTACTAGGGGGCTGATCTCTGGGGCACTCAACCACTGAGCCACATCCCCATCCCTATTTTGTATTTTATTTAGAGACAGGGTATCAGTGAGTTGCTTAGTGCCTCACTTTAGAGACCCTGTCTCTAAATAAAATACAAAAAGCTGAGGCTGGCTTTGAACTCGTGATCCTCCTATCTCAGCCTACAAAGCCACTGGGATTACAGCATGTGCCCCTGTGCCTGACTATTCTGAACTCTTTTGAGTTGATATCCTATTCTCAGGAACAAATTCTGCATCCTGGCATCTTCTCCCAAATGCATCTTGAAAGAAAATGCAAGACAAAACAGTGAGATATTGTCATTTATCATGTAATAAATTAGGAAGATTAAAATGAATAACACCCAATGTTGATGCAGTTGTGGAAATATTGACATATTACTTTGCTGCTAGTTTTGCAAATTTGTAAAATTGGGTTGGAAATCTTTATCCACAGTCATAATACTATTCATAACCTTTCTATAATCTACTTTTGGAAATGTATATGAAGGAAATAGTACAAAAGAAGGAAAATGTCATGTAAATAATTATTACATAAAGTAAAACAGCTTCATATCTAATAATCAGACAAAAATTAAGAATATGCTGGTGTGTAAGCTTGACAGAGTTATAATTTGAGTGGTTATATAATTCAATAGAAAATATTAATTAACCTTATTATATTAGGTGATAAAGTAGGCTACAAAATTTTATTCCTCATATTCACCTTGATTATATCTGTCTAAAATAAGTACTGGGGAAGAAATTTAAATTTAAAAATATGAAAATGATTTGTGTTAGAACAGTAATAGTTTGGATAAATTTTTCTCTTTAAAATGTATTTAATATTGTTTCACTTATTGTTCTAATAAAATGAGATTATGAGGATTTTGTGTTATTCTTGAGTCAATTGGAAGGGGATAAAATAATTGGATTCATCTTGTGTATATGGAAATATACTATCTATAAAGTAGTAATTTGCCAATGATCCTGAGATTTTCAATGCTATTATCTTATTTTAAAGAATATTCTGTAAGACATTTGTGGGAAGCTTCTTTTGAATAGTTCTCAACTACATATAATATTTTTATGGAATACTTTGTCATTAGTCTCTGAACAATTTAACTGTAGGTATATGAACAGATCTTGGTTGCAGACTTCCAAGACTGCAAATTTTCATCAGCCAATTGCAATAATATATGTGTAATCACATCTTTAAAAAAGTAAAGATTTTCCCCAGTTTTTCAAACCATTCAATATTAGAATAAGCTTAAGTAACCTCTTATTCACTTACATGTTTAATGGTTCTTCACAGAATATATGCTTTGTCCTTGATTATTGTATTCCCTGTGAATAAAGACAGCTCATATGGTTATTTGAGGAATAAAATGAGAAAATAAAAACAAACAGAAAGAATGTAACAAAAATATTAGGTAGTGCTAAATGCTTTAGAAATAAAAAGTAAGTCAGAATAAGAGAATAGAGAAAGTTGGACAGAGAAATCCTAATCTGAGGTAGTTTCTGTTTTATCTTAAGTATATCAGCAACAGCATTTGAATATTGTGGGATGGGTGTATAAAATTATTTGTTGGCCTATTCATGTCTAATCCATCATTTTCCTTCTAGCTTCACACAACATATACCACACATTGTCACATACTGAATTGACCAGCATAGTGGAAATTGTTATTTAGTGGCTCATCTTTTTATTTTGAAATATTTTTAGCTTTACAGAAAAGTTGCAGAGAAAATAAAAAGAGTAATCATAGAATAGTTATCAAAACAAAGAAATTGATCTGGATCTTTTAAGCACAGTCTTGGTATGTATGGCTGAAGTATGGTATCTTAATAAAGCCATGTTAATTCTGGTTTTGGAACACTTCTGTGTATTCAAAGAAAATCGGATAGGAAGAGATTGAGAATTGCAAATGTAAATTACATAGACTTTGTTCTAAAAATGTGCCTGTATCTTTTTGTGTTCTATTCATGAGCTCTTCCCAATTAGCTTAGATTGTTTTATGTAACTATCTCTGCACTTTGTTCCAATTTTACTTTTCCTTTCAGACTTTCAGAGAGATTTATATTATTGTAGACTCTTTTAATTGTCTCCCCTCCTCTCTGGGATTATGAAAGATATACAGGTTATATGACCAGTAAACTAAACCTTTGATTAATCTCCATTTGTTTTGTGAATATCTTTACACACAACATTGCTTGCTCTCTTTCTCTATATCAAAAATCATACTATGATGACATTGGAGGTTGATCCAGGAGGATCGCAAGTTCAAAGTCAGTCTCAGGAACTTAAGGAGGCACTTAGCAACTCAGTGAGACCCTGTCTCTAAATAAAATATAAAAAAGGGGTTGGGGATGTGACTTGGTGGTTAAGCATCCCTGGGTTCAATCTCCAGTACAAAAAAAAAAAAAATTAAATAAATAAATAAATAAATAAAATTTTTAAAAAATATATACTATGATTTTTCTAGGAGGCAGTTAGGTTTATTAGTTGTTGTTGATTCTGAGCCCTAATCAGTTTGGGCTTGAGCCAGGTGGGCTAGTAAAAGTAAACCATTAACTTCAATCCAATCTCTATTAAGTCAACTTGATTTTTAAATATATTTTTTTAAAAAACTTTTAATAAGCAGGTAAAACCTTTCAGTGTATGTTAACAAAGAAGAGACATTTTTCAAGCCAATGTTAATGTTTTTATCTCTTTGTGTTGCAGTCTAATTCCAATGACTACCTGACCTTTAATCGTGGGAGCCAAGAAGAGAGAAACCAAGGGACACTGACTTATCCATCAGAGACCAGTGGAAAGAGTATACAAGGAAGGGTACTTGAAACAAACCAACCTCAAGGCATGCAGCAAAGTGACCTCTTCAAAGCAGAATATGTTTTTATTGTGGACTCTGAAGGGGAAGATGAAGTTACAAGCAGAAAAGGCGAGCAAGGTCCCCCAGGGGGGACGGGCAACATGGCTGCCCGGCCCAAGTCTCTGGCAATCTCCTCCAGTCTGGTCTCTGACGTGGTGCGTCCCAAAATAAGGGGCACAGATCTCAAGTCCTCATCATATTCTGAAATTTCTCATGGGATGGCTTCTCAGCAAAAGCATGGACAGGTAGGTTTTGTCTTCTTGCCCTAAGGAAAAGAAATTGTTTATATGCCTTTTGTCCTGAGCTGTCTGCAAAGGTCTTCCAGTTTAAGGTATATAAAACTTTTAAAGAGGTATATATTAAAACCCCCAAATCTCAAAATCATAAATCATCACAGTGTAAACATTGATAAAATGATGAGATAAAAATGGCATACAAATTATACCATGAATTGGCTGAAAGAATTTGTAACACAAGGCAGAGAATATTACCTCTTTGAACAATTCCTGGCAAAGGTTGTATTGGGGGGTGTCAGGAGAGAACACTTGGTGAGTTGGTTGCTTTAAGAAGCACATTTTGGACATTAGAAAGATCTAGTGAGGCAGCATTCAGTGACTATTAGAGGTGGACATTGCTTTTAAACTAATAAAAGAATAGTGAAAGCCTAATCTAGGAAATAGGTGTACCTGAGGACAATAGTTTCCCCCAGGTGTCTTAAAGAAAATGTCTTTTGTGGTCCTGGAAGCCTCCAGGATAGCACTGTGCTCACTGGAGTGTGTGTGTGTGTGTGGGGGGGGTGTGGTAGTGGTGGTGGTGGTAGTCATATTCCACTCCAAAACTTACAGCAAGATTGGAAACTTCTTTCAGGTGGACAGCCTCTTCTGAAGTAGGACACCCACGTCTGTGACAGTAATAGAGAATTTTAAAGGAAAAAAAAAAGGGAGATTCTACCATCCACAAGTGATTTGGTATAATAAAAACTGAAGGTGACTTTTGGCAAGGTTTGGTTAGAATGTAGGATTGCAGAGGCTGACTTTGGAGAGTAGGTAGTGGAAGCAGAGCTCTGACTCCTTGACAAGGGAGCATGAGCTGGTACTGATATGCCCTCTTGAGGAGCTACTAGACAAGCACTTTGAAAGCCTCTCAAAGTAGTTTGAACAATTTTTTTCCCCCTTATTGATGAATCCATCTTTTTGTGCTACATTGTGGAATGTTGTTTCCTCCTGGGATCACCACCATTTTGTCCTTGGTTGCTTGAGCCTGTGCTCAGCTCAAGTTGGACCTTCTCTTAGACACAGTCCCTGTGGGGTGCTGTTGCTATTTCTCCTCCATCTTTGTGATTCTCTTTATTATTTTGTAGCTTTTTTTAAAAAAAAATCTCCATCATAATTCCTTTTCATTTCGATGTAAGAATTGATTTTATTTTTATTCCTTACTAAACTGGAAACAACTGGATGTCAAGGAATGTCTCTTACTCATTTCTGTATCCATAGTACTTAGTGTAGTGCTTTGCACGTAAATGGGCTTCAATAATGTGTGTGAAGAATATTTAGCCATTCACATTCTGCTCATTTTCTGATGTCCTTGCTCAGATATAAACTCATTAACAAAGCTGCTTGGGTTCTTTCAGTTGAAGAAACCACTCCCTCAATGTAATTTTGATGGATTTTTTTTTATGTACCAGTTTTATATTCATCATATTCCAGCATGTATTATAACTGTTTCAGTACATATGTTATTTCTCCTATTCCATGTTAAATTCATTTTTACTAAGCATTTTCTTCCCTATAATGCATAATATGTCTTGAACATTGTAATACAAATGTTGTGGATTTATGCATCACAAATACATGCTCTGATGTGGCATATTTAAGCAAAAGTACCTTATGTTTAAAAAAAAACACTAAATAATTTGAAAGTGTTAGTCAAACGTGAAAATGCTATACACAATAAGAAGTTCAATCGAAATCCTCTTAAATTCAGAAATAAGAGACTTAAATGTTCATAGAAAAGCCTAAGGATTGTCTTATCTGTAGACAGTATTAGAGTTAAAAGAGAAATGACAACAGAGTGATTTGTCTGAAAGAACTTTGATAAAGTTTAACATTAAAACGGTGACAGCAGGTACAAGAGGAAAACCATATAAGGGTAGAAATAGTTGGACTTGTTCGCTGACAGTAAATGGGAAAAAAAAATCAATCATGAATGAAGCTTATAATCCCGGACTTTGAATGAATGATGGCATTATTCATAGAGGAAAGAGTAAAGAATCTTGAAAAGGGGTAGGAGGAGATCAGACGTCTGATGCTGAACTTGAGCAACTTTGGTGGCATTGCAGGATGATATATAGAAAATAGTTGAAAATGTGAATCTGGAGCACAGGGGAGAGATTGGCAATGGAGACATTAGGCATTGAAGTAAAAGTGATAGGAATGGAGATAGCGACCTCAGGAAAAGAATGTAGAAAAGATGATGGCAGATGCAAGCCAGGAAGTTAAAAGGACTTGTGTAATATATGAAAATAAAAGATACAGGAATCTGTTTTGGTGGTGTGTGCCTCTAGTCTCAGCTACTCAGAATGCTCACTTGAGCTAGGGACTTCTAAGACAGCCTGGGCAATACAGTGAGACTGTAGAAAAAAAAAATTAAAGGGTTTTTCAACAAAGAGTTGAGTCTATAGTAAAAATAATAATAATAAAAACCTCAAATAGTCCCCTCAAGCACATTAAATCTGGAAATTAGAATGTCATTTGACAGTATGATTGGGATGATAAGGATAGAAAAAATGTTGAGACACGAATGGAAGGTGAGGACAAGGAGGTTCATGGTAGAAGAGGTTGTGATACAGGAAAAACAAAAGTGATTCAGGACACTTACTGGCTATGCTGTTTTGAGCAAGTTACTTGAAATTGTGGGCCTTAGATCCCCCTTTTGTGAAATGAAGTATTGATATCAATCTCCTTTGAGATTGAAATAATATATGCAAAGAGCCTAGAATAGTGCCTGACTCCTGGTACAATCTCAATCAAAGATACTCTGATTTAAGAAGTTTGAAATGGCAGCATTTGGGGGCACATAGTAAGAAACAGGTAGAGAGGGGAGGGTAGTCTCCATTTGTTAGCTATAGCTTGGATATTAGAACTGGGGAGAGGATATGGAAAATAAGATCAGAAGAACTGGCTGGGGTTCAATAAAGAGATTTTTTAATATAAAATTCTGGGAAATTTGGATATCAGCATATATATTTATTAAATATAGTTTCATGTTATATAACTGTGATAGATGGCATATATGATGGTGGTTCCATTAAGATTAGCCTATTGTGGTTGTAGCTGTCTTAGTTTGTGTAAGTACTCTCCATAATCTTTGTACAATGACTAAATCATCCAATGATTCACTTCTTAGAATGAATCCCTGTCATTAAGTGACATGTGATTATACTTTGACTTCATAGATCTACAGAAAAGGAATTACAACAAAAGTATTTGCGTAAGGCATTATACATAGAAACGTTCCTTGTATTCCCCAGGCCTTGATTTATAATAAAATACCAGATTCCTATCAGCACATTATATTACAGTATCCTTTATGTATCTCTCTCTCACCTGGATTTGTAAACCCCTCAAGAACAAAAAGTCCTTTTCTCATTTCTGGTCCCTGTCATTTAACATAATGCCTGAAACACTGTAGATGCTTAGAAAATATCTCATGAATGTTTGAATACGTGATCCTTCTTTTCACATGATCCTGTGATATAAGACACAGACATTAAGATATGAACTTTCTTAGTGGCATTACAGCTGAGAAAAAACTATAACAGGGCAGGGAAGGGAGCCTAGGACTCTTCTCTCATAGTTAGTGATGTTGCTTATTTTGTTCACTAAAACAAATCATCCACAGCTTTTAGCCTCAGGAATTCAGAGGTTGAAGACCTTGAAAGGAGTTGTGGTATTCAGCCTCCCTGTGGTATTCTGCTAACTGCAGAAACAAGTGGCTTGGAATGCCATAAGTGCTTCATGAAACATGGTATGTTTATACTAAAATGACAGGAAGTGATGTGCACATGGTCATCAGCTGGAAGATTCTGACGGCATGCCAACCAGAGCCACCAGAGCCTGACAGCAAAACAAACAATAACAACAAAAGAAGTTTGACCTTACACAAATAGATAAGAGTAGTAAACAGATTCTAGTTAGACCCTCCTGATCATATAATTGCTCTGAGCAGTTGGAGGGCATAAAAATTTGGAGAACTCATTTTTTTAATTGAGAGAAAAATGTATGGTCAAGGGATTTTATTCATTCCAAGAACCTTTCTGTAGTGATCTTCTCTCTGCCACCTCTCCACTTCCCTTCTTGCTTAGGATGAGTATATGATACCTTCCTTTTGTCGTTTTTTGTCTCCTTCCATGTGAATGAGACTGGACACACTTAGGAGAATTTTTCTAACTTGGTGGGAGGTCCCAGGCTCTGCTCTGATGCTGACAGAGCAGACATGTGAATATGAATAATGTCTTGTTGCTCCCGCTGGGTGGTTTAATTCTTACCATTAGCCAAGTGCAAAGGAAATACTTATGAAAAAATCAAGTTGCTTTGAGAATTCCAGCAGAAAGGTGGTGCAGGTTTTAAGAAGAGCTCTTCTGACTTGCTGATATCAGAACTTGAATTTTTCTCTGGTTGGAGAAAGAAAGAATCAGATGTCAGAGGCAGTGTTCTCACTACTTGTCCAGCTTCACTCAAAAGAGCCCAGAGCAAAGTAAGAGGGTCAATTTCAGTGTTGTATGAGCTGAGACTTGATGCATGAATACAAGATTTCTTGGCATTCCAGACATGGGAATTTGCAAGGAAGTACCAACACATCCAAAGAGGGTGGAATAAGGAAAGAAGAGGAAAAGCAGTCACCAAAAGATAGCCAATAAACCAGGAGAGAGTGATGCAACAGAGGCCCTGGATAAGACAGTTTTGAAAAGGAGAGAAAAATGGAAAGAATCAGAATCCATAGAGAGAAATCAGAAAAGATAAGGAATCCAAGTGCCTGTTGATTGTTTTAAAAAAACGTTATTATAGACCTTGGTGATAATGGTTTCTTTGGTAGAGGATGTGAGGGGATTAAGAAGTCAGTGGGAAGTTCATTTGCTTTCTAATACATAACAGATTACCCATAAATTTAGTGCCTTGAAAAAATATTAAAAATATTATCTATTTCCTCTAGTTTCTATAGATCAAGAAGTGAGCTAGGTTCTTTG